TAACAATTTTGACTCAAAATTGATAACGAAGTTCCAATGTCGTCCGCCCGTATAATTTTGACACAATATACACACTTCAAAGATGAGTCGAAACAAAACAGAACGAGACAGAACATATGTATCCAGTGCCGACGAAAGTTACGAATAAGTGAAAATTTAATCTTATGAGTTGTGATTTTTTTATAAGAGCAAATTAAATTTTTTTTAATGAACGTCACCCAGTCTTCGAGTCCGAGTCATGACTCGGACTCGCCCATCTCTGAAGAGATATTATGTTTAATATATAAATATTGCAATCTCTTGTATCCTATGTATAGATGTTCTGGAAAAGCAGACGTGCTGACAGTTTCTCTTTACTGTTCAAAAACAGCAGAACAACAATTGTCTTCATAATCAGACATCTACCGATTATCCTTGATTTCGCTGGGCTGATATACATTTTTAAAGTTGTGCCAGAAATGAAGGTGAAAGTTTCTTCTGAGTAGTATTTTCGATATAACTTTGGCAAAGGGAGGGAATGTTTTATTCAGTAACTTTTCACTCAAAAACAAAAGAAAAAACGTCACAAACTTTTCGGAGTGAGCAAATGTTTTCGAACTGAGTAATTCATTATCAAACAAGGTAGAGAATTTCCCCTCCTTCCCCCCTAATCGAAATACCTGCTTCTCAGTTTTGATGAATAATCCAAATATCTAATACTGTGCTTGCATATTCAATATACGTGCTACTTTGTTGCTTCAACCAAATAATAATTGGACTATGTAAATAAAAATGTGAATGTGTCATTACTGCATCATACGACAGGATATGAAACTTTCTTAAAGAAGTCATATGTTGTAAAATCATCTTAACTACTTTCAATAATTGTTGTGTAGTGTTATTATTATTTGAGCGAAATCCCATTTGTTCAACGTTTAGAAATACATTTGCTAATTTTTCAACTAACAAATAATCTTCCTCGTTCTCTATTGACCACTCGTCTTGAATTTCTAATAATTTGACTTTTTGTTGCAACAATACATGTAGCGATGATGGTACGTTGTGCAGTAATACAATCAAGTATTTTAATGGTAACTGGATTGCATTTAAATTCGATGACTGCTCTAATATGAGTTGAAGCTGATCGAAACTAATACAATCTTGTAGTAATAGACTGGACAAAGGGGTGTATAAAATAAGTTTCTTTAACTTTTTAAATTGAATAATTTTATCCACATGAGTCAGTAATAATCTACTGTTGAGCTGTAAACTAAGTACTTTTACATTGGGATATTGACGATTGATTGGTTCTTGTTGTCCTAGATGAAAGAAAGGTAAAACATGTATCATGTATGGAAATATCTTATAAGAGGGAATTCAAGAGACTAGCACTACAAGTTATCTCACTCGACTCTCTTGCTCACAGTGCTTGTAAAGACAGATACTTCACAGATTCGTTCTATAGAACTCCTTGTCGGAACAACTTGAGCCAGTCATCATGTATAGCATCAAAAGTTAATCATCATCCCATCTCTTTCTTATTTGTAGTCCATCGTAATTTAATGGTGAATATGTTCTTCTGCTTCTTCTTCTGAAAGCTGAAAATTCGGGCTGAAGATTATTATAGATCTCCCATCTGTATGAGCGAAAAGTATTTTCGTCTACCGGACTCTACTGTGGTGTATTTAAAATACCAGGTCGAGAAAGCTTAACGTTAGATTTTGATCAACTCACATTGATGACAAATAAGTCGAATCTGATTCACTCTGACCTCTGCTAAAACTAAATACACACTACCTTCGACATTTTCTTTTGATTCATTATGTATATTCAAAAATTTAACTTGATCATACACAATAGTCTGTTTTAGAAAAGGCAGGAGAAACATCGAAGTTTTTCTATCGTTAAACTACGGTCTTTCGAGGCAACTTCATTTTTATTACTATTTTTCAATGAAACTATCGAGTCATATGTTCGTCTGTTTCGCTTCTTCAATGAACACGCACGCTCGTCTGCTATTATGTCTCTAGCAACAATTGCGAAATAAAATGAATGAGAATCAATCTTTTACATTTCGTCATCCTATGAGTCATCTTTGTGTTTATATTGAAGGACGATGGTTCATTCTTTCCGTTCAATTTGTTACTTATATAGACACATGTTGAAAGCATAAAACGAAGGAGAAGAGAACACGACACCTATTATAGAAGTTAAAATAGTATTTACATTCAAGGGATGGAAATCTCGCCAAGTTTGTGTTCAATGATTCTCCATGATGGACTTTAATTGCATACCTGGTTATTTCATAGTAATACGTCCCCTACCCTGGTCTATCCAATAGTGAAAACCCCAGGTCTCTACCAGTTTCCTTTCAAAAGTTATAAGAATTCTGCCCAAGCGACTTATTTTCATGAATAGATAATAGTAGTGCAAAATTCTGGCGGCTTTCTAGTAAAATATTAATGTCAAAATACGAGCATTTTCAACTGTTTTCTGATCTGATTTGCAGAACATCGTAAAATATCGGATTTGTAAAGTCTCTCTAAAAGGTAATATTTGAGATTGAGATCCCTAAAGTCCAACTAATCATAGTTGACTGTAGATGGAACTTGTAAAATGACCAATTTATTTAAGTCATTTAAAAGTTGCAACAAAACAAAAATGAAAATCTAATAAATAGAAATTTGACTTTGTTCTGGATTAACTATATCGAACCCACCTCCAGAAAAAATTGGGATAAGATATACACCTTGTCCATCTTTGACACGAGTTATATGAAGTGTTTGCGTTTGTTGAAAGTTAGTCGAGTTGAAACTGAATCGTTTTGGTGTCCATGTGACGCAATCATTGCATTTTGATGCAGTTGATGGATGCCATTCAATAATTACTGTGTCATTGCCGTTAATACGATGCGGTGGAGTATTTAGCCAAAGTTGTACTGATGAAGTTTTATCCAATGAAATCACCAATAGTTGAGGATTATAAAGAAGTCCAAGCGAAAGATCTGTACAATTATAAGCCCAATTTTGTGGAATTCTCTTGAATAGTCTGTCATCGGGTTTGCCAATAGATATGACTTTGTAATATAT